AACACCAAATCTTGTTCTTGGTGAGCGACGAGCTGACATTTGACATGTTGCTACCTTGAGGTTGCTAAGCCTCAGTTCGATTGGAATAGGAAGGTGATGATCCACACGTTGCCAGATGAAAGGACCATTAGGCTACAAAGGCTAGCAAACTAGTGAAGAACTATGGTTGCATGTGCACGTTGTCTTTCTTCAACTATTACAAGCAGAATCACGAGGAAGGTATGTACGTACCTAGTCTTTGTCTCTGCGAAAGGAGAAGCCATAAAATCGCCTTCGAAGATGGAAGCAGTCGTTGCGCAATACTCGGACCTCTTTGAGGAGCTTACGGGTTGGTAAAAAAAAAGATTGTCCACGCGATAGAAATCATTATCGGCAGCGAAGTACCTACAACACAGATCTATATGATGTCTTTTACGAAATTAGATGAGATCCACAACTCAAGGAACTTACAGAGAAGGGTTGGATTCGACCAAGTTCATACCCCTACGGAGCGCCACTCTTATTTGTCCCAAAGAAAGGGGGGACACTGTGAATGTGGATTGACTATAAGGGCCAAGAGGCGGTTAACGAAAACCTTAATTTTCAAACAACTTCTCAGGCTATTTATAACAAAACCCAGGGGTCGTTTTAACCAAACTTGTCGCCAATCCATACAACGAAGATCATACTAACTACTTACAAAAAACAAATTGAAAATTGTCAGGCCTATAAAACAGCAAGGCAAAAGTGTATTTTCGTGCAAAAATTCAGCAAAAATTGAAAATTCACTCTTTTCAATTTTTAGGATTTTCATGATTTTTCAGAACTAGCCAACACAGTTAACTCCAAGACCCCAACAAACACCAAACTTGGCACACGCAGACCTTGACCAAAAATAAAATAAGGCAAAAAAAAAAAAACAGAAAAAACTAAAAAAAATTGATCTTCAATGCAGTTTTCAGGGTTGAGGGGTTTAACTAGGGCTGAAAAGTGGGGATCCTTGTTAACTGCTTATGCCTCAATGCCATCACAGTTAAGAACGCGGAGCCCCTACTCTGCATTGACAACCTCTAAGATAGAGTGCACGGATGTTGGTACTTCACTAAGATAGATCTGAATTTTGAATACCATCAAATTGCTATTAGACCTCAGGATCAACACAAAACTGCCTTTCAGACTAGGTACGGTATGTACGAGTTTCTGGCTTGGCCTATGCAATGCTCCTGGGACGTTCCAGCGCGCAATGAACCGGATCTTTTATGACTACTTAGACAAGTTTATCGTTGTATACCTCGCCAATATCCTTTTCTTTGGTAGGACTGTAGAGGAGCACGCTAAGCACGTCAAAACAGTGTCAGGGATTCTAAGGCAACAACAGTACAAGCGGTACGGTTTGTATGAGTTTGTGGTTTGGCCTATGCAATGCTCCTAGGACGTTCCAACACGCAATGAACCGGATCGGTGAGCACATGAAAACAATGCAACACCAGTACCAGGTTAACTTGGAGAAATGTGAATTCGGTCGCCCCAAGATCTTGTATTGTGTTCAGAAGATTTTCACAGGTGGGTTGAGGTGAAAGTGGCTAGCATATGTGACTGACCCAAACCTCAGTTTGTGACTGAGGTGAGGTCATTCTTGGGGATGACAGACTAATACCGCCCATTTGTGAAAAATTATAGCAAGATAGCCTCCCTTCTAGCTGACCTCACGTGCCTTGACACCCCATGGGAGTGGACCGATGAGTGTGAGGCAGCGCTCAAGGAATCGAACTCCTCAAACATCTAGATCTTGAACAACCCTTTGTCGTGACCACAAACGCCAGCCAATACGGCATAGGAGCGATTCTTGCGCAAAAGGAGGGGACGAAGTAGAGGCCGATCGAGTATATGAGCAAAAAAATGCCATTTCATAAATTAGCTGCGTCCACGTATGAGCGTGAGTTCTATGCCCTCTACGGAGCGCTGGTCCATTGGAGGCACTACCTCCTAGGCACATTCTTTCATGCTAGATCTGACCATGAGACACTACGCTAGAATAAAACACAACCCATGCTCTCCGACACACTTAAAAGGTGGATTGAAGTCATAGATATGTACGACTTCAAGCTCAACCCTCGGAAGGCAGAGTACAACAAACTAGCTGATGCATTATCGTGTAGGGAAGACTATCTGGGCGCTGTAGTGACCGAGTTTCGGATTCTTGTTCATGTAACTCGACATATGGTGGAAGCCTATCAAGAGGACATTGTCATGGCCAAAATCATCCACAAACAGAAAGCTAAAGACAAGGCTGTTCCTTGAGAAGGCTGGGAATAAACGTTAGTGTACTCCGAATAGAGAGTCTTTGCGTAGTTTATTTTCAGGTGAGTGTCACAATACAACCAGACATTTTGGGCTATAAAAAGGCAGCTGCAATGCAAAAATTGTGGTGGCCCACAATGATGGACAATGCAAAAAAGAATGTAGAGACTTATCAAGTTTGTCAACGAGACAAGCCGCGGACGCAAGCACCGCTTGGGCTTATTAAACCCTTGCCTATACCCGCTGGTCCTGGTCAGAGTGTTTCCATGGATTTCATGGATACTCTTGTGACCAACAAAAGTGGTAAACGTCACATCTTCGTCATTGTGAACAGGTTCACTAAGTACGTTAGACTAATCGCTATGCCTAATACACCTAGGACTGACCACGTCATCAAGCTATGCATGGACAACTGGGTACGTGACTTCGGTCTCCCTAAGTTTATTGTGAGCAACAAAGATGTCAGATTCACTAGCGACCTATGGCAAAGTTCAGCCCAACAGATTGGCACCCGGCGGCAATGACATCAGGGAACCACCCTGAGTCAAATGGACAGGCCGAGCAGATGAACCAGTAGTGCAGCACTTGCTTCGGCATTATATTAAGCCAAGTCCGCCAGCCTGTACAACAATGTTGTGCACAACACTACCGGTAAGACCCCCAACCACCTGCATCTTGGTTCGAAGCCCAGATCTGCTCTTGGCTTCCTGTTGCCTGAACACCAGCCAACCGTAGCACCTGGTAGCATAGAGTTTGCTGTCAAGTACGAAGAGATGCTGCAGCAGGCTGTAGAGCACATAAAAAAAGCTCAAGATGCCATGGTTGCATCTGAGAACAGACACAGACGACTGTCTGCATTTCAGGTAGGTGAACGAGTTTGGGTAAAGTCACCTGAGTTGGGACAGGAGTTGGGAATCTCATGCAAACTGATGCCGAAGTACTCCAGATCTTGGGAAATTCTGGACATAGTAGGAGGTCAACCCAATGGTCCATCATCTGTTATTCGCATTCTTGGTCACCTCCGTACACACCCTGTTTTCCATGCATCTATGTTGGCACCCTTCGCTGAAACTGATCAGTCTTGAGATCGATGCTGCCCCCAACCATGGATGGACATGTGGACATTGAAAACATCATCGAGCACAAGCTGATGCAGTGATGCCTGTGCGCAAGCCTCCATGCAAGGGGTGCGATTCGGACACCATACTGATCCCGAGGAAGATCGGTGGTTCACAAAAGAAGAGGGAGTGAGCGGGTTTGCCCCTTGGCATTAGGCCCTGCAGCAGGCACGTACCCGCCCTAAGTGAAGGCGGACCCCTGAATCTCAATGTGCCCTGAGTTCGTCAACTTTTGCAAATCTTGGTGGGCGCCAGACAGTTGCCACGCGCCAGTTGGTTACATCCGCCTTGCTCGTGAGAATCCAAAATATTTGTGAGCCTTCCAGGCTCTTCCAGCAGCGTGGTCGAAGCAGGGTGCACCGCACGTTTGTGCCTGGGTGGTTGGGCACGGCTAACCAATTCGGTCCCAGGCCACGGTCTGAATGGGCCTGGGCACAGACACTTTGGCTGAAACTAAAGCTACTGGAAACTCGGTCTCACGTGGGAAGCAAGTGGGAAATGCCCGCCACTTTCCATATAGGAAAGGGCCAGGCTCCGAGTGGGTGACTCGGGCACTTGCACTTGCGGGCGTCAGCGCTGCTGGAGTATAGACTCACGGGCTGCTAGCCTCATTAGCGATAGGTGCGATGTGTGGGCGTCGAAAGGGTACAGGGCGCTGCTGATGGCAGCACCATAGCCCAGCCTTCATAGTCAGGTTGGGGCTTGGACATAGGTTGTGGGTGGTGGTGGTCTTCGTGCATAAGAGGACTCTGGATACATATGTCGGTGGTGGCGAGAGTATGCTCTCATTGACAGTTGGATTCAGTGCTTTGGCTCTCCGTTGATGCAATATCAGTGCATTTCTGCTTTCTGGACAGTGTTGGACTTGCTGGCCTTCAATGTGATTTTGCATTCCGGATTTTTGTCATTTCGCTATCGCTCATTTCCCTTGCACCATGAAAAAGTCCTGAAAATCTAGGGCGCTGTTAACCTTCTCTCCTCACTTGCCCATTTCCGGCATCCTCTTATCCTGCATCACAAATTTGCAGTAAGACGAATGTCCAGAGTGCAGAACTGTCCACAGTTTCGTGATCATTCTCAAAAGAAATTAAAACGAAAGCATCCATCCCGAGACAAAAGCCTCACTGCCCTACGATGCCACCACCTCCTGTGCCAGCAAATAGACAGCAGAGATTAATGGAAGACATATCTAGCAGCAGAAGTTCTATGGGACACAGCAGACAATAGACCCAAAGAGTTAAAAAAATACTCAAGCATACCGTTTCACAACCACAATAAAAGCCCACTGTGCCTATCTACCAACACTTGGCAAATCAGGCCCTACACCACGAGCCATCTCAGGACACCAATTGCTCTGGGCGATGGATACATGTGTGTGGACCCACACAAAAACCCAGCACTTGCACACAGACACACACACACACACGCACACACAGAGAGAGAGAGAGAGAGAGAGAGAGAGAGAGAGAGAGAGAGAGCATACTACTCATCGATGTAGACAGCATGAAGACCTCTGTCGGGCTACACTTAAAAGACAGGTCACAATTGGCTGGACTGCTATGATTCCACAGCGCCCCGCTAGGCTTATTATGACCAACTTGCAGTTTGCAAGTTATTTCATTTCGGTTCTCAGCTTCCTTCCATTCATATCAATCACTTAATTCATCTGACTCTATTGGAGTGCTCGTACCCCATATACCTGCACCGAGACTATACAGAACAGCCTGACGCCATACATCCATCGCTGTTTGCAAACCCCAAACCCTAAGTGCATGCACTGGCCATAACCCCAAGTCCATTCACCGCCCATCACCCTCATCATGGCCGACACCACCATTCCAATTGAACAGCCCACGGGCACTTCTCCGTGGGTGTTCGTGATGCTAAAGGCTGAAGCCCATACACTGATCATAACTCTAACAAAATGCAATGCACAAGATGTTGCGGCATCGCTCCCGCAAGAGGTTAGTGTACACCAAACTACTCACCAGACGACATTCCCATGAAAGATGACAGCGCATAATTTCTACAGCCAGACCAACTGAACAGATGTGACTGACCTCACTAACCACCATCCCTCCAAACTGCTCAGGGGCATGAAACGACGACACAGAGTGAAACTTATCCACATTCTCCGGTGAGATTGTATGCGGATTATTCCTCAATCTAATACCATATATGTTCTGAATGCTTCTTAAACCACCAGTTCACAGGACTGAGTTGGCAAAGCTACCTTCCAAGGCTCACGAGCCTGCAACTGCGCCTTTTCAAAGTTGCCTGCCGCATTCGCTACTGGCCAAGGCCCGAATCCGAGAAGCTCTTGCCGTACAAACCGGTAACAGCCATACTTCGTGAACTGGAACTTTTAAGATGATCCAATTGCAAAGTTGAAGGGGAGCGAAGAAGGGAATGATGCACCATCCCCAAAATAGAGTGATATTGTGCCGAAAGCCATCCACACAATCAAATGAAGGTAGCTGAACGACGGTACGTGACAGGAGGCTCAGCACCCAAACTGCAGCACACCCTCATTTTGTGTTCCTTAGTTGCAGACAGTTGCAATGGAATTAGTATTGGTCTACATCCTCTTTCTTCACAAGCATAAAATCACCATGTGAACCTCCCAGATGACAGTGGAAAAGGAGGGAAAAAAATGCAGAATGACCGCTTTGCTCACTTTTCCACGTACCTTCATTCGTGGACTAATCACATGACTCCGTACTCAGTTACACCTCCACTAAACAGGCCCGCAAACTCTGTCGTGTGACCACACTCCTTCTCCCCCTTAAACGGTTGTTCAGAATGAACAAAAAACTGGCTATATGCAATAGTTATCAGAAATAGGGAAATGAGAATACTGCTACGACCTTCAATGGAATTGCAACTCGCAAGCAATCAGATAAATCCATTCCCATAGATCTGAAGCAAACTGCATCACTCATATAACAGTTAAAAGACTCCTCTGTGGAGGCTGCCACATGGACACCAGACACCTGATTGAAATGTTTTCACACATAAAAGGCCTCTTTCACTACTACTCCCTTCCTTCCCTCCTTCCCCCCCTCCTCCCTTTCAACCTTTCCTAGAGTGCAATACAGCACAGACACCACGGAAAATCCTACTGACATTCCTCTATTCTTCCAGCCAAATAAGGCCAGGAACACCTGCTGCATGGTACCAAAGGCATGACTGAATTGTTTTCATACCAAAAGGCCTCATCGACTGCTCCTCGTCCCCGAATTTCACCCCTTTCCACTCTGCAATACGGCACCGAGACCACAGAAACTATCCCACTGGTGGTCTTAGTCTATTCTTCCGGCTAAATAAGGCTAGGAAACCTGCTGCACGGTGGGCCCTCTGGGTGTTCATCGCCTGACGCGCTTTGGCGGAGGGCCTCTTCCCCCATCTGCCGGCCTTGCCTTGACTTTCCGCCTCTGCCGCTCGTCATCGCTGTCATCTGATGGATCTCTTTCTCGATCGGCCCTGGGATGATAAGAACACACCATCAGCATATGTTAGCCTCTGCAACAACACACTAGACACCCTTGTGCTGCTTCTCCCAAAAGCAGAAAGAGGTATGAGCACATTCACGGCAGATTCCCGAAAAAATAGTCTTTCCAAGGGAAATGAAGAAAAAAAAGCAAATGCCTGACCGGATAAGTGGACACGTGAATGCCATTTTCTGCAGTAGCACTCTTTCTTGGATGGCAGCAGGCAGACAATCCTGGACCCAATGTGGCAAACACTTCTCTCTCTCTCTCTCTCTCTCTCTCTCTCACACACACACACACACACACACACCTCTGGATCCACGCACGTGTGCGTGATGGTAGCCTGTTGAGATGGGAAAAAATGTCATTCAATTTATGATTCAAAATGGTACGACATTTTGAATCATAAATTGAATGACATTTTTCCCCATCTCAACAGGCTACCATCACGCACACGTGCGTGAGAGAGAGAGAGAGAGAGAGAGAGAGAGAGAGAGAGAGAGAGAGAGAGAGAGAGAGAGAGAGAGAGAGACTCACTTCTTTGCTTGCGCTTCAAGCTCATCCCAAGTCAAACCCTCTTCCTCCTCTTCATCTGAATCCTCATCGTCTGAACCCTCTTCATCGGAATCTACAACAGATTCGTCTTCAGAGTCCTCCTGCAGAACAGACAGCACAAGCGTACATCCAATTCACCCATATCATGTTGGGGTCCAAAGCGTCACCTGTCAAGAAATGCCTTGCTAGCGAGCAGCATTGCCGCCATTGTGACTCTGTGCGTACCACTCTGCAGAGCGCTCCAGCGGTTAGGCCGATACTCTTCAGAGAAAATACACTCGGCTATGAGATGAGGCTGCTAGAGCAGCAATGAACGGGTGCCCTTGGCGCTGTAACTCGCCTGACCAGCCTGCAAGAGCTCTACTCTCAACAGCTGTCAGCCGCTTGACAACAGTGAGGGGCATGTTGTTGAAGTCCCACTCTTAGTTTCTGGTCGATAAATGAGGAGAGGGGACCAGTTAGGCCTATCCATTCAAGACCATTTACTAGTGTAGGATGTGCTACTCAACCGCAATAAAGGCAGGCGCTTGGCACTGTAACTCGCCAGACAAGATCGGAAAGCTCTACTTTTGATATCGGTCCGCCGCTCGATACAGTGAGAGGCATGCTATTCAAGTCCCACTGTGGGTTTCTGGGCAGTGAAGGAGGAGAGGCACCCTTTCTTGATTGGTGATGTAGGAGCCCTGCTTGCTGATTGACCCATATGAGAGGGTGGTCACATTAGTGCCAAACACCTTTTCTTCCTGCTTACCTTTTTCTCTCTCCTCTTCTGTCATTCTCCCTTTATTCACCACTTGGGGAGGTGGAAATACGACGAGCTCTCACCAACAGGCCTAGCTCAGTATGTACACCCATATACTGTTGAAGTGCAGATCTGAGTTTACCACGTGGACATCTCAAGGCCACCGCTCAAGAAACACAAAAAACACACAGAGATAAGATGAGCTCTCATGTTGAAGATCATAAACGGTCGATCTTCAACCTTCGCTTCCAAGGGACATCTGCAGGATGGCCTTCATTGAATGACTCAGTGAGCACCTTTGATATTGGCTGCGTGGTTTAAGCCCCAGGATTGGTGTTGACTCCTTGAATCTGGGTATATTGAATCCCTTTTCAGTCGGAATTTATGTGTGGGCAGATTGTGTTGCAATAACTCAAGCTCAAAATCTGCATGGACGCGGGCCGGGGGTCGAAACTTGCGGTCAATGGTCCGAATGAGAGGGCAAGAGTCACACCCAAGTCTGAGAAAAGCCTGGACAAAAGGGCTAAGGCCAAGGGATACCCTGGGCCAAGTCAACGTCGGCCTTCAAAGGCCCTACGGGCGACAGTTGATTATTGGCTGTCTGCAGGTATCCAGAAGAATCCAGTCCAAGTGGGACACATGGGAAATCTGCACCTTTGCGACATCACGGCCATTGGCTGCCAACAGATCTGGGCCGTCGTACCCAGGAGACCAGAGGCTGGTCAACGTGAGTCAACACAACAAGTTGACGACCCAGCCCCTGCTTGAAATCATTCAGTCTTGTGCATTCTGCCTGGTGCTGGCTTGATGCTGGTGTGACGACACAAGGCTGCTGGAGCTTTATACTGGCGCCGGTTTGTGTGGGCGCCAGCCTTGAGGATGATTATGCTGGCGTGGCCATAGCCACATTGTTTCGACATTGACAGGAGTGTGGGTGAGGAGGAGGAGGTCTGCACTGTGAGATTGGTATGAGTGATGGCCATAGCCACATTGTTTCGACATTGACAGGAGTGTGGGCGAGGAGGAGGAGGTCTGCACTGTGAGATTGGTATGAGTGATGAGGAGAAGCTTACCTGGACATACCTCTGTCGACGCATGTGCTTCAGTACCTTCTGAAAACAGTGGTTATAGTCAAAATACAAAATTGTTATTAAGATTTATTTTCAAGTTCAAAGAATCTGAATCCTTATCTTGAAATTCAAGCTCTCTTTAGTGAATTTTCGGTAATTCCTAAATATTTCCCCTACTACCACCCTTTCTTAACGTATTTTTCCTTTTGTGAATTCAAAATACTTTGACTATCATGCTAAATTGACTATCTACACTGTTTGGGATTTTTCCCAAACTGTTTGGTGCTCATCTCCAGGAGGAAGATCTGCACCATCCTCCCTGACCACTGCTGACGGGGCAGGAGGATGGGTGCCCTGCTGTGACCTGTTCGTTGTACATGTCAGAGATCGTCAGGGGAGAAATGTATTGCTGACGTGGCCAGTGTGGGGGAATGCCCGAGGAGGAAGGGGGCTTGAGAGGGGTATTCTGCTTCGTTGATTCGTGTGGGAACTCTCCTCCTCTCCGTCTCTTCTCCCACTTCCCTCATTCTCTTCTCTGGGTTTGAGGCATTGGGAGACTTCTTGTATGAGCATGGATTCATAAACAATTTTTGGAGACATTCATGCTACGCTGTGTCAGACTTGCATTTCGACATTTACAAGCTTCGGAGCGATATCTTCCTCCCTCGCTATCTAGTATCTGCTGATCGAGACATTTCGCGCGATTATGATTATGATGATGATGATGATGATGTTGCGGATCTGACAAGTCGGTCGTGGAGGAGAAGAGCGTATTGACTACCATCGCGGCTTGATAACTCACCGGATGTTGACATGAAAGGGGGAAGGGGAGGAGTAACTTACCTGCTGACATGGACACTCCTTCGGGGCTGACGCTGGTAGCGGCCTGCTGACATGGCGCGCTGCCTACTGAGGTGGCAGCACACATAGGTGCTGACATGGCACCTTCCTGAAGAAATGGCAAGGTACATCAGATGACGTGGCATTCTCCATGGTGCCACGACGTACCTCCAGTGGCGCGTCACCTCCCTGAAGTGGCAGCAGGAGATGCCGGTTGACGCGGCACTTTCCAAGCGACATTCCAATGAGGAGATACAGGGTTTGAGCAGTGCTCCACTGCTCACGTGCTTCGAGTAGCACTCCATCACTGACGTGGCCTAGTCACGAAAAATCCTGTTCATCGCGTGCTGGAACGTACCAGGTGCATTGCACAGGCCAAAGGGCATCACCACAAACTCGTACAGACCGTACCTGGTCTGAAATGCGGTTTTGTGCTGGTCCTCAGGTCTAATGGCAATTTGATGGTATCCGGACTTCAAATCTATCTTGGTGAAGTACCGGCATCCCTGCACTCTATCCAAGAGGTCGTCAATGCGGGGTAGGGGCTCCGCGTTCTTAACGATGATGGCATTGAGGCCCCTATAGTCAATGCACAT